GGGCTGGGGATTCGAACCCGCCACCTTAGGTGTACATGGCTGGCGCCTTAGCCGGTTGAGCTATAGGCGCCGAGCCTAGTTTTTATTTTTTTTTGAGACTCAAGAAGCTGAGGCAGGAGGGTCACTTGAGTTTGAGGTTGCTATGATGATGCCAGCTATGATGATGCCAGAGAAGCCCCGTAATGGCTGGGCTTCCCCCCAGCACAAACATAGCCCCACAACAATATTTATCCCCTGAAAAAAGCAGCTTAAGATGTGGGCACACATTTTGCAGTTTATATTCTCAAGTTATGCTTAGAAGGTGCTTATTCTGGGCTGTGCTAGGCTGGGCCTTGCTGTGGAGATATACCCCCCAAGTTCCATTCTGTTTGGGGCCTGTACCTGGCCTCAATCTGCCCTCGGCCTCTGAGGCAGCGGGCACAGCTCTTATACAAGTCACAGGTTTATTTTTCCTGAATAAATACAACCTGAGAACATCCATTTCCATGCCCCCGATAATATTTATCCCCTGAAAAAAGCAGCTTAAGATATGGGCACACATTTTGCAGTTTATATTCTCAGGCTATGCTTAGAGAAAGTCCCAGCTTCTTGGGAGGCTCAGGTAAGAGGATTGCTCAAGTCCAAGAGTTTGAGGTTGCTGTGAGCTATAATGTCACAGCACTTTACCAAAGGTGATCAAGTGAGATTGATCTCCAAAAAAAAAAAAAATCAGATACTGGTTGCTGCCAATGCATGCCTGCCTCCGCTATAACCCATGTCTACCACCCAGAATTGGTACCTTTCACTCATAAGCAGAGAACATTAGTTTTAGGTAGTGTATGAGGACCCCTGGACAATTTCCATAAGGCTTTTTGATAAATTGGTTAGTTTGCTGATGATTCCTTCCCCAATAGAATGTCCAAGCTGGAGCCTCAGAAAGGCCCCAAATGAGAAAGTTTCTATGCAGGCCTCTAGCAAATGCTATGTGACATCTGTGGCAGGCCTGTTTACCTTTCCCACCATGTGAATTCTCTAATATGTTCTGACTGTTGGAGGGGTGGTGATTCACCTTGTCATTTCATTGTTAATCACCGACATTGAATAACTGAGTTTCCTTTTTTTTTTTTTTGCAGTTTTTGGCCAGGGCCGGGTTTGAACCTGCCACCTCTGGTATATGGGGCCGGCGCCCTACTCCTTGAGCCACAGGGCTCGCCCAGTAACTGAGCTTTCCAAACAACCAGTGATGCTAACAAAACCTCACCTAAGGGTGCTGTGATCTCAGCCATCATGGTGTAAACACCTCTGTGTGCACGTGCACAAGTGAGAGGGACAGAGAGGAGGCAGCAGGCACAGCTCTTACACAAGTCACAAGTTTATTTGTCCTGAATAAATACAACCTGAGAACATTTATTTCCATGCCCTCAACAATATTTATCCTCTGAAAAAAGCGGCTTAAGATATGAGCATGGGGCAGTGCCTGTGCTCAGGGGGTAGGGTGCTGGCCCCATACACCAAGGGTGGGGGGTTCGAACCCAGCCCTGGCCAAACTGCAACAATAACAACAAAAAAGATATGGGCATGCATTTTGCAGTTTATATTCTCAGATTATGCTTACAAGGTGCTTATTCTGGGCTGTGTTAGGCTGAGCCTAGCTGGAGATACCCCTAAGTCCTGTTCTGTTTGGGGCCTGCAGCTGGCCTGAGTTTGCCTTCGGCTTCCTACTAAAGAGGCCTGATGTTGCTCCTGGACCTGTCTTCACTGCCTCTCCCTCTGCAGCCCAAAGGGAGGGGTGTTCAGGACTCTGTAGCTCCGTGTCCAGCCTGTGCAGAGAGCTTTGTCCTCTGACATCAGGTACTACCATAGGCCTCTTCCCAACTGGCCCAGCAAGGATTACTTCTGACTTTGAAGCAGCTCATCCATGACAAAAGGAGAGAAACTGAGGCATGGCAGGTACATAGGTGGGAAACTCTCTCCTTTTTACCCTGCCAGGAGGCCAAAAGCCCCTAAAGCAGGGGTCCTCAAACTGCGGCCCGCCTAGGACATTTATCCGGCCTGCCAGGTGTTTTTGCCGCCTGTCCTGCTTAGCAGCTGACTCATCCTGGGGCCTGCAGTCCGGCCCTCCAATGATCTGAGAGAACCCCCTGTTTATAAAGTTTGAGGACCCCTCCAGAATGGAGCAAAAGATGCAGACCCTCGCCCCTTATTCCCTGGGGTCCTGGCCCTCTAGGGAGCAGGAAGGTGGGGAGACCACCATTTATCTCCTCTTCGTAGCTGAGGCTCAGAGGTTTGGGTCCATGTTCTCCTGGTCTGAGGCTGCCTCATCATCATTTGGGGACTCCTGGATTAAAGCCAGAGAAGCCCAGTCACGGGTTTGTGCTGTTCCCCAGGTCCACAGCCTAGAGACCAACATCTCTTTTCTCTTGCCTCCACCCCCAAAGAACCTGGTAGAGGGCTTTGCCATCCCCACCCATATCCTATTTGGCTAGCTCGTGACCATGGCCTCCACTAGGTGACTCCCTCTTACCAGACTGAGGCCCCTGCTCCGCCGCAGGGTGGCATAGTAGTGCAGCACACGAGGGTCACAGCGAACCACCATGGGGTCAAAGTCCAGCACACGCAGGCCCTGCAGGCTGCGGGCCCGGGACAGAGCCACGTAGGCCTGGCCGCTGGCAAACACGCGGCCTAGAGAGATCTCAACACAATCCAGAGACATGCCCTGGGAGATGGAGGGACAGAGATGGAGACAGCTCAGGCTGAAGTCTCTTGACCCCAAACCCTGACCTTGCACCAGCCTGGCTACTACCCCTACATCTCCTCACTTAGTCCAGAGAATCTTTTTCTTTTCTTTTTTTTTTTTTTTAGAGAGACAGAGTGTCACTTTATCGCCCTAGGTAGAGTGTCGTGGTGTCACAGCTCACAGCAACCTCCAACTCCTGGGATTAGGCAATTCTCTTGCCTCAGCCTCCTGAGTGGGACTATAGGCACCCACCACAAAGCCCGGCTATTTTTTTGTTGTTGCAGTTTGGCCAGGGCCGGGTTTGAACCCACCACCCTCGGTATATGGGGCCGGTGCCCTACTCACTGAGCCATAGGCACTGCCCAGTCCGGAGAATCTTAAGACAGAGGGGGAACATGACAGCAGATGGTTGTCTGAGTAGCAGGAGGACCAGGAGTTCAACTCTGGGATAAGAGTTGAGGGATGGGGTCAAAGGAAAGAGCTCAAGCTCTGGGTCAGACAGATGTAGAGCTGAATCCTGACTTGCCCCTCACTAGCTGCATGACCTCGGACAAGTTCCTTAACCTTTCTGAGCCTTGATTTCTTCCTCTGTAAAATATGAAAGATTATTAGTTATATCTACACTTTGTACAGTTGTAGAAATTGTATTTAATGTATCCAGTAGTGGGCTTAGAAAATGGTGGAGAAGGGTGGCGCCTGTGACTCAGTAGGTAGGGCACTGGCCCCATATACCGAGGGTGGCGGGTTCAAACCCAGTCCCTGCCAAACTGCAACAAAAAATAACTGGGCATTGGGGTGGACACCTGTAGTCCCAGCTGCTTGGGAGGCTGAGGCAAGAGAATTGCCTAAACCCAGGAGTTGGAAGTTACTGTGAGCTGTGTGACACCATGGCACTCTACCGAGGTTGATAAAGTGAGCCTCTGTCTCTAAAAAGAAAAAAGAAAAAGAAAATAGTGGGGCATTCTGACTTGTAGAAGCAGAGGGGAAAAAAAAGAAAAACAAATAAAGAAAAATGGTGGGCAGGAAATGGCAGAGGGGAAATGAAAACGTCTAAGTGATAGAAAGACAAGGAGTGGACTGAGACATTCACTAAGGAAAGTTTTGTTCTACTCTTGGCCTGGAACTTTCCAGGTAGGGCCAGCTCAACCCCCATAAGCCTTCAAGACACATACAGCCTCAACGTGCCCAAGGCATGTCCCATGTACTTCTGCTCTGCCCTGTCCCCATTCCCCCACAGTGGGTGCTCACTTGGCTCTTGTGAATGGATATTGCCCAGGCCAGCTGGAGGGGTAGCTGCTGCCGGCTGAGGAGCTGGCCCCCAGTGGCCTGCACTGTCCAGCGGTCAGCACGGATGACCTCAGTGAGTCCACACAGGAAGCGCACCTGGGGCAGCCCTGAGGAAGAAGTGAGAAGGCCAACCGTCAGCCCTGCTGGGCTCAGAGGTAAGGAGCAGGGCCCTTTGGGCCTTTCCTTCCTAGCCTTTTCCTCGCTCCCTGACCTGGAAGCCCTGCCATAAACCCAAGCACTTGGCTCAGCGCCTATAGCTCAACCAGCTAAGGCGCCAGCCATGTACACCTAAGGTGGCGGG